GTCTTACTGCATACTCTTACGGCTATTGTAGATAATCCTTAAATGTTTTAATATTGCGCAATGGGGTTAAGCCACCCTGCACAGGAACCGAAATTCAAATCATGACAAACTAAGTATAAATTGAAATTTTCTAACTTAAAAAAAAGGAAATAAGGGGAGAGGATTAGTATCTATGAAATCATCATTGCGAAAGCTGCGACTTGTCCCCATACACACCAATCATCGCCCATCATTTCTCTCCCTCTTTTTCTTAAAACAGTTTTTACACCCTATCTCATCCTATATAGGTCACATGATTGCAGGCTGATCCCAAATCTATACTAAAAATCTGACAAGGAAACCTCGCAAACTCGAAAATTCTGATTTAAATAAAACTTCCCACACATGTAGAGGGAGTAAAAAGATAAATTTAGATATTTTTTTGTTGCTGCTCAAAAGCGGTTCTAAAGGGTGAAACCACCCTTTATAAGTAGAGCGGTTTTCAATGGTGAAATTTATGAACAAATTTTCGGCAGCCCTACGGGATCTCCTTTATCTCCTGATGCTGCTGATATCGTTATAGATGACTTAGAGACGCATTGCTTAAACCTCTTAAATTTTAATATTTCGGTATTTTTTAAATATGTGGATGACATTTTCACGGTTGTCCCCAAAACGAGTGTGGGCTTGATTTTAAAGGTTTTCAACGAGTATCATCCCAGACTCAAGTTCACGTATGAAATAGAAACAAATGCGTCACTCAACTTCCTTGACACGACTGTTATCAGAAACGGTAATACACTGATAATAACTAATTAGTATCGAAAACCGACGTCTAATCTCGGGACGATACATAAACTTTTACTCTAACCATCCATTAAAATATAAATTAAATACTATTACTAGCTTAGTGGATCGCGCTATTTTACTTTCTGACGAAAAATTCTATGACTGTAATATTAAAATAGTTAAAGAAAGTTTGAAGAACAATAGTTTCCCTAAACAAATAATTAATAAACACATTGCTTTACGTTTAAACATTCTCAAAACACGTAACACTACACATAACACTCTCGCTGACAATAATATAATTTTTTATTTAAAGAACTGCATACCGTTACCTTATATCAAAAGGTTGAGTGATAGCATTTGTTGTACGTTAAAAAAGCTCCACATCACTAACTTGTTTACAGTTCCTAAAAAACTTGACTGCTTAATTAAACGAGGTAAAGGTAGAATTGATGATCTGAAACAGACCGAAGTAGTATACAAGATTAATTGCAAAGATTGCAATGCTACATATATTGGGCAGACTAAAAGACATCTGTGCACGCGTCTCAGGGAACACCAAAGCGATATCAGAAAACACTAGCAAGCATTCTGTAGTGAGTGCCCTGCCGAAAATGTTCGATTAAAACCGATTAAAAAGAAAGTAATCCGAATCGATCGGGATTTCTGCATCGAAAATACGGTATTAAAACCGATTGAAAATAGTCAAATCGAATTTAGTACGCTTCAGGCGGATTTGATATACATCCATTTAAATCCGAAATTATACGATTTCATAAGCTATAATTAAATCGGTTTTAATGCGATGTGAATCTATCGGAGGATGACAAAAGTAATCCGTTGCAATCCGAAATTCTATTTTACGAACATTTAAATCGGTTTTAATGCGCTGTGAATCTGTCGGAGGATAACAATAAAAGTAATCCGTTGCTATTCGAAATTTCACGATTTTGCGGATTACATTGCGATAGACAATTAAATCTGTTTTAATGCAATTGAATTAGCTAGAATTTACCATAGTCAATCCATAGGCAAAAATAATGTCTTTTAATAAAAAATGTCATCATTTCGCAGATAAAAAGTAAATCGATTTTATGTAGTGTGAGTAGGATTTGCTGTTATCATGAGTCACAATAAAGCTATTTAAAATCAAATCTTTATTTTTTTCTCAACTGCATAATATTTACAAAAGAAATACAATTTAAGCGTTAACCTTCGAGTGGTTATTGTTTATTTAGGTATTGACTCCTAATATGAGTGTATTGTTTGCAGTTTTTAATCAATTTTCAAATTTTTAAGCAATACAAACAATTAAAATTGAAAATAAAATCTTCAAAATAAACAAATAAGTACATTAACTTCGCCAGCAATTTTAACCAAATTGAGAATAAGATGGAATTTTAATCGACGTAACTGGCAATCTCAAGATATACGCGTTTAAGATTTGAAATTTATTATGAACTAATAAATTTTTCAAATTGATTAAAATTCCATCTTATTCTCAATTTTTTCAAAATAAACATAAAATTTTCGCTATCAAAACATTAATATATTTAAAAGAACAAACTTTTCTGACTATTATGATGAATACAATTCGGGTGAGTAATTGTAAAAACGAGAATCTTGGTTATCCTCAACAACATTTACGTCTTTCGAGAGTAATATATATAAATTAAAACAATGTATGAATGGTCCAAACGGAATTGACCAGCAAATGTCGAAAAAGTCCTTGGAGATATTGCACTTTCTAACGGATAATGTAGATTACTGTGATGATTCTGTCGTGTCTGACTACTGCAGATTTCAATATAAACATTTATCAAAATTCGATACATCTGATGACAACAATGTCATTCTTATTGGCAAATGCTATAGCGTAAAATGCGATGATAAAATGTATAAAGCATATAAAAAATGCATCGTTAGAGGCGTTGTATTTCACAGCCAGAAGTATCGCAAAGCGAAAAGAACGAACGATACAATGATTCAGTTACATTCAGGCAAATATGGTCAAATAATGCACATTATTCTATTAAATAATAAATGCCACATGCAAATATAAAAAATTACGATTAGTTCCAATAAACCGTTTAAAGTGTCGTACATGGATAGGATAGAATCAGAAGATTATGTACATAGCTCAATAGTTCCCATAAGCGATGTCAAAAGCAAGCTTATTCACATAGATGTTGGATATTGTAGATATTTAGCAAACCTCCGAATACATTTGAAATTCAATAATAAATAAAACTTTGTAATAAATACAATTTTGTTTCTTTATTTATATATACACACAGTCAAATATAATTATAACAAAAATTTGATTTAATTGCATTATATCCGATTTCCTTTTCATCTGAAAAATCGGAGAATTTCAAATTCAAACGAATTACTGTTGCTTTATCACAGACTATATAAATTTGATTCTTATTGCATTCAAATCAATTTAGTTTTTATCCCCGAAATTGGTAAACTTTGGATTAAACCGGATTACAAAATCAACTCAATTATTAAAAGTGAATATTATTATAACGGATTGAAATTGCATACGCGCAATCGCTGAATTTCGAATTAAAACGGATTAATGTTGTCTTTCCTAGCAAATCGGATTCAGATGGATTACAACCGATTTTATTGAATCCGTGTTTTTGTAATTGAAACGGACTCATCTCTTGAAAAGAAATATACAAAATTAGGCGGATTATTTTGGATTATATATCCATCCGATTATTAGTGTTTATTTTGGATTGACAACAATATGGATTAGAATGTAATGATTTCGGATTGGAAATAATCTGCAAAAGCGATATCAAAACCCATTCTGATTAGTTTGGAATTAAAATCGATTACTTTTTAATCCGGGCGCAGATTAAACCGATTAAAACCGATTAAAACCGATTAAAACGGATTATGTTTTAATCGGTTTTAATCGAACATTTTCGGCAGGGTGAGCACCGAATATCCTATGGGCACGATTTTGATTGGGGAAAACCAGAAGTAATACATATGAGAGACAGATCAAAAAGAGGGAATTAGCGGAGATGTTTTTTATTAAAAAATTTGACGACTCCATTAATTTACAAAAGGACACGGAGAACCTTAACGTTCTCTTTGAACATATTAGGGGTACTCAAATAAGTTAGAGTTTAACGGTTATGTCGTTTGACAGGTTATGTCGGGTTAAAGTCGAGTAAAAAGTTAATTTTTAAACTTTGGGCGCGCTACTTTTTAAGGTTTGCAAAATACATACGTGACTCATTAACCTATCACATTAATCTTTGGGTTAAAAGTTTAAAAATAAACTTTTTACCCGATTTTAATCCGACATAACCTGTCAAACCGTTAAACTCTAACTTATTTGAGTACCCCTATTATAAAACAAACATAGTTGCCTTCTCCTTCTTCGCCATTTCCCTCTCTATGCCCTTGCTTATTGTTGACGGCACTAGTCTGTTTTATATTGTCAAGTTTATCAGTTTAACTTTTACCATCGCACGGCGCTCTGACATGACACAAACATCTAACGAATCAAGCCGTTTGACAAATATTTTATCGTTAATTTTTGACGATTTAATTTCGACGTACAAATATGTAAGTTACTGGTTTATACAATCATTTATGGATTTTTTATATATTTTTCATATTTATTGCGGAGTGCTCAATTTTGTCGTTTAGTTTTTAGATCCGGCGTAGTTGGGGCATTATGTCCGACTAATTAATATTTGTGAGTTGTGTATATATGCTTGAAAAGGACCGGAATCTCTACGGTCGAAACGTAGCGTTTTTTTGATCAATAAAATTTGGCCAGTTGAGCCGATCAGCATACCTTGATTAATTTTTTATTATTATTATTACTACAGTGAATATTTAATTATTCACTGGCGACTCAAATTCTCTAGTTTTGTTTTTAGACATATTTTTTATAACATATACTTTGAGAAAATAAAGAAAATTTTTTTCTGATTTTTTCAAACTTTTACACTAGAATACCCCCTTAAACAAATATAATACGACGTTTCTAATAAATATTTTATTTTTTTTTTACTAACTTATTATTATGTTTTTGCTTATGGACCTCAGGTGTTATAAACTTCTTTAAGGTAGTTCGATGACGAAAGGCCGAAGTCAAAACAATGTTTATGATTTTTTTATCAAATCATTTATATATGATTATAAAAAAATAGGATAATGCATCACAAAGCTTCGTAACGACGTAAAAAGACTATTAGTAAGTAATTTTTACGTTGTAGAATAATATTTTGCCTGAAATAGATTAAAATAAAGTGTGTGTTAACGCGTCGCTTGACTAATTTTCAACTTGTGCCAACTCTTGAGTGCTCTAGCTACTTCGGAGATTATTTCGATTGAATTATTGCGTTATTTTGGCGACTTACTGAAGTACAGTAATTTTGCATTAATATTTTTGATGGAAAAAGTTGATATGATATCACAAGGTGCATGTAATTTTTTACACAAACAATTTTTTGCATGCACGAGATGAGGGCAGTGGCTTGGCAACGCCGCACAGTTCGTGCGGTTGGTATACTTGGTACTGGTGATATAACCTAACCTAAGTGTCAGAGCTCGGCACAAACATTCAAATTTCCAAAATGAACCAACTCAGGATCGGTGATAAATTTGCTAAATTGCAAGACGTGGAACGAAGGAAGCGAAGTATTGAACACCTGGAAAAAGCTAGAGAAGCTAAAGTACGCAAAATACATCAAGAAGAATTTGTGGAATCAACAAACCCTAAATGTGAAGTGCATGGATACAGATTAATAAAAATTGCTGAAATTTCCAAGCTAATGAAGTGCGATTCGTGTGCCACAATACTCTTTTTTGATTTCGTACAGTCTGAGAAGAGATACGGCTTGGCTTCAGTGTTCGCAATCAAGTGCCACAACTGCTTGTGTATAAAGGAAGTTCACACATCGAGTAGGACAGCAGTAGAGAAAGGAAGATCATTGTACGAAATCAATGCTGCAGTTGCTTTTGGTAAGCTATTACATTTGTAATATAATAGTATTTTTTATGACTTTTTATTCTTAAAGCTTGTTGTAAGCTAAAATTGCTTACAGAGCAAGTTTCTCATCTTGTCGTAAGCTTAGCAGGCTTTTAAAAACAGATTCATACTGTGTCTCCAGCTACGTTAGATTTTATAGAATATTTCATGCTTCGCCAGAACTTACGCTGGCTTTTAAAGAATATTTTTTGCTTTGTTACAAGTTATGCTAGTTTTCAGAACAAGTTTCATAATAATACGTAATCTTAATGGACATTACATATTTAAATGTTCATCGTTTAATACTATTCTTTTATTTTCCAAGGTTGCATAGATTCCGGTGTTGGACACGAGCAATTGACAACACTACTCACAGCAATGGATGTTCCACCGATAACCCACCAAGTGCTAAAGAAATGTGAAGAACAATTTGGAGAAGCATTTATTAGAGTTGCGGATAGATCCTGCTGGAATGCTATCATAGAAGAAAAAGCTCTCAACCTTGCTGATAAATGTCCCTCGACGCAGTAAGTTTTATATAACAATATTTTGTATTTCAAAAACCGTGCTTTCGCCATATTAAATTTGTTGTTTTTGCAGAATCAATAGTACCAGCAAGAGAAATCCTCGATTCCAACAGCGAAAAACTATTCTGATGCTTAAGAAATTCCGGAATAAATTATGATAATAATAGAATAAATAATGATAATAATGTGTCTTACTATAATTGCATTTTTATTATTCAGGTTTTTAGATTTCATCTAGTACGCATCCAGAATGTTCCAGCAGGTTGTACGCGCTTTACTTTAAATTTTCCCCATCTTAATTTGTTCTTGAATGGGCTTTGGCAGTTTTCCTGTTTTTGATTGATTACCAGCTTTTCTCTATTTTTCATTACTAGCATGGTTCTTCTAAACGGGGCAGATTTTAATAAATTATAATTTTCTGTAATTTTTATTACAGCCGTTGTTTTCAAATGGTTGTCTAACTTTTCTTGCATCTGATGTTTACTTGCATACTCTAACTCATTTTGCATTTCTAGCCCTGACCCTAAAAGTCGCCGAGATCTTCTTATACATGCTACTATTTTCTACTATGTTCTAATATGTTTATAATGTTTTTATTTCTATTTCTCTAAGCACTATTTGTTGGAAGACTAAAAAAAAGTTTTGCTCGCTTTCTATTTACTTGTTTTCAACTACTTGTGTGTATATATGTTATTAACAATTTACACAATTACATTCCAAGCGGTGACTCTTATTCACAAGATTCTGCGGCGTCCGTAGTCGACGTGACAGTCTCGTACGACTTTGGCTGGCGGAAGCGAGGAAACGGTCGAACATACGATAGTAAGAGCGGTTAGGGTTCTGTTGGCAGCTTACGCTCTAAGAAACTCTTGGCTTATGGCATGAAGAGCACATGCTGTGCCGTGTGCCGAAAGGGCCACTCACCTGACAGCCAAAAGTGTACCAAAAATTGGTCAGGGAGTGCGAAATCCATGGAGGCAGATACAGCGGTTTAACTAATGGTGAAAAATCCAGATTTTAAAAAAGCTGGAATCCGAATAGGAACACTTATTGGGGATGAAGATTCGTCCACAATTGCGGCAGACCAACGAGAAACTTCACATCGAGTCGTCAAGTGGTCGGATTCCAATCATGTGCGTAAAAAGTTTACCGGAAAACTTTATAAGTTGGTCAACACCCATCGAAAGCTTGACAGAGGATCTGTCATCCCATATTTGAAGCGATGCTTCAATTATGCCTTGGACCAAAATAAAGGAAATACTGAAGCTACGACGAAAGCTCTATTAAGCATTGCCGAGCACATATTTGGGAACCATAGCAACTGCGGCACTTGGTGTGAGGCCAAAGACAATCCGGAGTACGTGTTTAAGAGTTTACCGAAGGGAAAACCTCTTTTCAGTAAAAATCTGCAAACTGCACTTCATGGGGTCTTGATGGAGTTCACATCTCGGGTGTTGAAAGTTGCGCCAGGGGGATCGTCTCAACTCAATGAATCATTTAACCATATGGTGGCCACCAGAGCACCGAAGTCCAGACATTACGCATCTTCGCGTTCTATTCTTCTGCGAGTGGCAGCAGCAGTCTGTCAGAAAAATTTTGGAGCTAAACACATCATCGATGTAAGATTCGAAGCTGGATTACCGCCAGGAACGGTAGCTGAAGAATACCGCCTACGAAAAGAAGTCTTGCAACGAGAAATAGCTGTAAAACGTACCACACTCGAAGTAAAACGCCGTCGATGTTATTTGAAAAATAAAAGGCAACGTATCACCATAGCACGAGAGAGCAGGGAAGGGATTACTTATCAATCAGGTATGGGACTGGATCTTCCTATCGAAACAACTTGTGAAATTGATGAACCTCTCCGTGAAGACAGTCCGCAAGTCATCGTTGACATTGAAACTACTGGTCTGGCATCTACTGCAGACATCGTTCAAATAGCGGCGAAGTGTGGCGATCAGGAGTTCGCACGGTACATGCTACCTTCCCAATCTATAAATTGTCATGCAGCAGAAAAAAATGGATTATCACTGGTTGGAGGAGAGCTACATCATTACAATAAGGTAGTGACGACGATTCCACCACGAGAAGTAGGAGAAGAATTTATACGCTTCCTCGGAGAATGTAGTCCACAGGCGCTGCTGCTCGGACATGATATCGTACGCTTCGATGCACCGCGGATCATGCGTTGGCTACAAGGACCGGTCTCTTGGAAAGTTTTGTCAAAGGTGTTTATGGAGTGTGCGATACAATTCCACTCATCGGACAAGGTAAAGTTAAAAAACAAGAAGAGCTCGCAAAGTTATATTTGAAGGGCGAGGAATGGGAAAGAATTATAGCTGGTTCTCACAATGCCTTAACTGACTGCCAGATCCTGTACGGTTTACTAGCTCATTTCAAAGTAAGCGATACAGCAATTACGGCCGGGGCTTTGAGATTGCAGACTTTACTGCAACGGCAAGCAATCGCAAAGAAGAAAGCGCAATTTCTAGAAACTCTTCAGAGATCTGATCATATTTCGAAGAACATGATGTCGAAAATCGCTGCTGCCGGTATTAATATGAACAGCCTTCGTGATGCGTTCAATCGATCTGGCGCTGACGGTGTCAAACTATGTTTGGCCGTAAGTGTCAATGGAAAACCCCGAGTAACATCGAACAAAAAGATTATCGATAAAGTCATCGATTTCCTTGCTTCGTCGAACGAGGAGAGAGGAATGGAAGTAAGGCCATCTTCTGCATCGGAGTCTAACATTCGCGTTTGCCACATACTGGGTGTGCTGCCTTGACTGGTAGTGCTATGCTGGTATGCTATATCTATTATACGTAAAAATGGCCAGTTAGCTTTTTCAAATAATTGGACTGACTGGGGTGTATGCTCTGCGTAGAATCTTGTAGCATGTTCTCATAATGCTTGTTTCCATACAACTGAAAATGTCTGTTTTTATTGCTTTAAACGGTCTCTTGCACGCTTTAGAATATAGGACGTTCAGCAATACTTTAGCAATACTTCGCTTTTGTATTCGATAATGAGTTACTGGCAAACGCAAATGAATTGGCTGGCTGTCTGATAATAACGTTTATTCAAAAATGTATACATAGTGACAAAAATTAATGACCAAAAATTGAATATATTAAACATTGAAATTATAGTGATATTATATGTATACAATTTATTTTCACTTTTTATTTTATAGGTGCAGCCAAAAGATATACACCGTTTGATGCTCGACAACTGCCTACCTGCTACTGGACAGCCGTCTTTACGCTAATCATACTCGCCTGTTCACCGGCTTTCACAGTGTTGTGTTCATTCCCAGAGATGCGATTTTTATAGCTATCTTGATTGTTAAACAGTAAAAACTAATAAATAAAATATTTTGACGAATTTGACATTACATTACCGACTATATTGATTCCACTCCCGCATCCTGTTCTTTATTTCCCTTTTCTCTCCGTTATGCACGTTTTAAAATTAATTTTCTATACAAAAATGTGATATATAACAAGGTTTTAATCGGGTAAGAGTCCTCAGCTCGTGTTAACCAAATAAAATTCCAGTAGCTAGAATAAATTAGCCGCAAAAATGGTATAACAATTTACTTGTACTTCGAACATTTATGTTAGAAATCACAAAATACGATAAAATTACATTACCTCTAACTGATTTAATGTATGTACTATACTCCTGATTTTTTTCATTTAGTTTTATTTTCGATTTTTTCACACTAATATTATCACTGTTTCCGGATAATCTATTTCGGCAATACCGTTTCAATGATAATTAAATTATCAGTTAATCATAATTTATAGCAGCACTTTATATTTTGTCAAAGCCGTCGTATATACACATTTGTCTTTGCGCGCACTTACACCTAACCTTACGCCGACGATCACAGCGTGCGGCGTTGCCATGTCACGCTCGAGTTGTGAAAGTCAGCGCTTGAGCACCGGAAACCAAACTTTAATTATTAATTAAAAAAAAAAAACTGTACGGTGGATCGTGTTCACCTTCAACTATAGGCTTCCTCACAGTGTCCTCTTTTCATCGATATATATTGTTCGGACATTTTTGGCAAAAGATTTTTGCAAACTCGTGTTATTCATAGGAAAATACCTCTTTTCCTATTAGACTAATATTAAAAATTACTTAATTTTGAAATTAAATATCTTGAGAACGGGTCGGTAAATTATCTTTTTTCTGGGCTTAATCGATTCAGGAAAGTTCCTTCTTTCGATATAAAAAATAAAACCTATCACTTTTGGCAAAAGTCGTTCATCATCGAACTACTTTAATCACTCCCTCGCTCGTAACAAGCGCAAATATTTTAGCATTTTGTTTTCGAGTAAGTTAGCCATTCAGAATTTAAATCAAAATTCAAATTGTAAAGTTACTTTAAACTAAAAAAATTTTTTGGGTAAATGTGCTTTTTTTCAAAATTCTATAACGTTTTAAGTATTAATTTTAGAAGATGGGTCTATAGAACCTTTTTTGTCAGCCACATCGAGCCCTATTTATAGAATTTTGTTCCACTTCAATCGGACTATTTTTTATTTTCAATCCCCTTTAATCCTTAACTTTGAAAATTCATAACTTTCAAACAAAAAGGGCTAGAGGGATGAGCCCAACGGCATTGAGTTTATCTTTATGGGGGGGGCTACCGCTCGTTCTTAGGTGCCAATCCTCCCCGACTGCTCCATAGCTTGTAACAAGCTCAAACGTTGAATACTGCGTACTGAAGTAAAGTAACCACCCTAGACATAAACTAAAATCCGATTTATGACAAACTAACAATAAGTATAAATTAAGCCAATCACCGCCCATTACTTCTTTCTCTTCTTTCCTTGGAAAACTGTTTTCACCCCTTTTCATCCCTATACAGGCTACAGGAGAGTTGCTGATCAACCCCGGACCTGTATCAAAATCCGAATCATGACAAACTAACAATAAGTATGAATTAAGGCTTAATTAAAACTCAAAATTTTTAAACTTTTTTTTAAGAGGTAAGGGGTGGGGGGTTGGCACCAACATCTATGAAACTATCATTGCAAAGCCTACAATCCATCCTCAGACACCAACCACCGCCCATCACTCCTTCCCTTTCTTTCGTTAAAAAACTGTTTTTACCCCTTTGAACTCTATATAGGTCACGTAGGAGTTGCTGATCAACAGTCCCTGTACCTGTATTAAAATCCGAATCATAATAAAATTAGTACGAATTAAGCGTTAATTAAAATTCGAAATTTTTAACCCTTTCTTTAAAAAAGGGGGTAATGGGTTGATATTAATCTCTATAGAATTACCCTCGTGAGAACTATAATCCGTCCTTAGACACGAACTACCGCCCACCATTCCTTTCCTTTCTTTTGTTGAAAAACTGTTTTTACCCTTTTTCATCCCTATACAGGCCACAGGGGGGTTGCTGTTCAACCCCGAAACTGTACCAAAATACGAGTCATGCCACCCCACGTATATATCTGATGATAACTCATAATCGAAAATTTGAATCCAGTAAACTTTGCCGCCTAACACTTACTCGTGACGAGAGCCTTCTAGCGGCACGGTAGGCCAAACCGACAACACTTTTTAAGATTTTGCGACGACGACGACGACGTATCTGAATGACATAAATTAGGCAGAAAAATACAGGCACATACGCATATTTATGCATCAAGTGCATATATATACATCAATGTTATATTATTATAATCAGAAAAATCTATATATTTTTCCAATATTTAAATCTTTTGATAATATTGACTTATTAAAAAAATTTAGGGGTTTATTTCTACAGAAGCGTTCTCCTTCCTGTAAAAGATACGCTATAGCGTCTTGCTTATGAAAGAAGGATGTACCACTGCACTGCTGTATCTTGTTAATCGCTTACAAAAGGATGTATCTCCTCTTGTATCTTGTTAAAAAATATATACTTGGCGTGAGGCGCTACCGTGTCTCTTGATACACAGTGGCGATCAAAAGTTTTGAGCCAGGCAGATTTTTTTTCCATATTTTGGATTTAGGAAAAACGAACAAAACAATGATTAACTTCAAAGAGAATAACATATTTTACTATGAATAAACGTTGTAAATGATAAAAAATAGCATATAATTATTGATTTATTTAACAAAAAGCAAGAAACGCATGATCATAAATATCGAGCCAGAGAACTTCAAATTACTTAAATCACAAAAATTAATTAAATCACTAGAAAATACTAAAAAAAATAATAGTAATATTTAATATTTAGTAACCATGCTCTTAGAAATAATGACTGCTGCGTAACGACGTGGCATTGACTCGATTGTGGGTGATTGTGTCTCGAAGGATTTTTTTCTATTCTTTACTTAAAGTCTTGAATAAACCTTGTTTATTTGAATGTTTTTTGTTAGCTACTTGGCGACCAAAATTCCAAAAATGTTCAATAAGATTAAACCTTTAGACTAAGCAGACCATTCGATAACTCGAACTTTTTTGGCAGACAAATACTGTGATACGATCTTTGAAGTGTGTTTTGGATCTCTATCATGTTGAAAAGATTCATCCATAAGGCATATTGTCCTTGGCGTAAGAAAGCATTCTATTGAGTAAGTAAATTCTATTGAGCATTTTTGGGATGGTCGCCGAGTAGCTAACAAGAAACGTTCAAATAAACAAGGTTTATTCAAGACTTTAAGTGAAGAATAGGAAAAGATCCCTCTCTCGAAACACAATCACTCACTTATCAAGTCAATGCCACGTCGTTACGCAACAGTCATTATTTCTAAGGGCATGGTTACCAAATATTAAATATTACTATTGCTTCCTCATAGAGGAAGTTTTGTTTTCATAAACCTTGTACATGAACCTTTGATCGCATATAAAGCTAATCAACTAAATTTTAAAGAATTATATATGAAATGGGGATAGGACTTGGTTAGTGGAGCGTTTGTGTTGTGCATCCGTGTGAGAGTTGCGGATAAATTAGGCGAGAGTTTAGAGGGAAATAAGAGGTGAGGTAGGCGCTAAACCGATAGAAAGGTAGAAAGAATAGCTTAAATTTAGGATAGGATAATAAATGCAGTAGGGAAATATTAAATAGTGAAAGAAAAGAGCGCTAAATGCTTAAGAGAGAGGGAGAGGTTAGGTGAGAGAAGGCGGGAAAATAGCGTGGTGCGTTCTAAAAGGGAGCGAGATTTGCGTTACGCATAGAGGGGATGGTCCCGATTGCGCACATTACAAATCGGACCAGACAATATTTCCCGATCGGACACGGTAACGATTGCACATGGTGTCGATTGCACACGGTAACGATCGGACACGGTAACGATTGCACACGGTGTCAATTGCATACGGTGTCGATTGGACACGGTGTCAATTGCACACGGTGTCGATTGCACCTGGTGTCGATCGGACACGGTGTCGATCGCAAAAATTATTTAACATGTTATAAAATTATTTGAATAAAGTAAAGCGCGCCACTAACCTATACAGGTAAATTTACACAGTTAAACACAAAATATCTGCTTAAAACGGGGAGCACACACTTCTGCATAACGCATAATGCGTAAGCATAAGAAAATTGATTGGTCTATTTCCTTATGCACATGTGTATGGACCAATCAATTTTCTTATGCTTACGTATTATGCGTTGTGCAGAAGTGTGTGCTCCCCGCTTAAAGCAGGGCACACACACACGTGTGTGTGCCCTGCTTTAACGAAAATCACAACTTTTATTTCGCTGCGCGTGCAGCCACGGAGCATGTGTCCGATCGACATCGTGTGCAATCGACACCGTGTGCAATCGTTACCGTGTGCAATCGACGCAATCGTTACCGTGTCCGATCGTTACCGTGTGCAATCGTTACCGTGTCCGATCGGAAAATATTGTCGTGTCCGATTTGTAATGTGTGCAATCGGGACTCACTCGCATAGAGTAGGTAGTGACATAGACGGAACAGTCTATAGGCATATAGGCAGCGGTCAAGGAGATTGACTAGAAGGAGAGCGTGATAACGAGTGACGTACAGGATGGAGGGAAAGTCGGAGAGGCAGGCGAGAATGAGAAGGTAGTAAAAAGGAATTTTGTCACACCAAAAGAAGAAAAAAGAGGAAAAGGAAGACTTACAAAGGAGGAGTTAAGAATGAGAGAAAGATCGAGCTGCATACTGGATTATGTGAGAAGTGAAAATAGTATGGCATGTGAGATAGCGAAAGCTAAGAGGAAAAGAGAAAAAAAAAAACAACTTGCGGAGGAAATTTTCAAAAGAGATAACAAGACTGTGAGAACGCCACCAGGAATAGACAAATCGAAGGAAGGAGTCGGTGCTGCAGGTAAGAAGAGAGAAGAGGAAGGAGATTTGTCAGCAACAAAGAAGGATGAAGAGGATGGTTCGTTGTTAGCAATCTTGAGAGAAATTAGAGACAAGATGAGAGAGATGAGAGAGAGGATAAACGTCTTAGAAGAAGGATGG